AATCAAAACCACTCTCTACAAAGCATCGCTAAGCCCTTCCATCAGCAAAAAAACAAAAAGAGAAGGCACTAATAAATCACCTTACTTAAGTCTCTCTTGAATATTTATCTCCTCTATTAGACTTCTATTGACCAAGACCAGTCGAACTTTATATATGAGATAGATAAAATTTAAATTAACTTTTAAATAATTAAATATAAAAATAAGATATTAAATTATTAAATGATAAATAATATACACTAAACAAAAACTCTAAGAGACAATTATGTTCATTCTTTAAATTATTTTCTTATACTTTTAAATATCTTCATTTTCTAAAATAAAATAAAAAAATACTTACAATGAATAAAAGTAAAGAAAAAAACATTTGATTGCATGATTGTATTACATCTCACAAATTCATATTTAATGATTGAAATTTTGGCTATTTGATTATTAGACAAAAATAATAATAAATTTTTTTTGATATGAAGTAAAAGTTAATAAAAAATTACTAACACAAATAACATGGTTAAATTTGATTATCATGGTGTTATTTAGATAGGTTTAAATGACATAGAAAATGAGAAAACAATTCCCCGGAATGCCACTAAGGGATGCCAAACCTCCCTTTCTCACTCCCTTCAACTCAAAAAATGAGAAAAACAAGGCTAAAGTAGGCACATTAGACATTGCGACACAAACGATTTCAAAGGCTTTAATAAAACCCCAACCATTTCGACATAGTTGAGAAAGACCTATATTTAGGGTTGTGAGGAGATCAGACTCGAAATCGGTAAATGGAATACGAATCTTAAAATCTTTGATTACCCTAGAGTAGAAATAAAATATTCATCAGATACTTCTTTGGCCCGAGTAATGCAAACCCTGTCACCAGCCACACAAGGTTCTAAAATAACATCTTCCTCATTCCCAGTGAAAGAAATTGAGTTTTTAGAATGAAGCTTCAAGATGTAGTTATCGTCAATGACACTATAGTCGTAGCTTAGAACCTCTTTATCTCCCAAAGTTCCTATTGCATCCATCAGAGTGTCTAATGAACCTAAGGATGAAGACTCTGAGTCAGTGTTACCAATAGGTGAAGGGATTTCACCATAAACTTCTCTAATAATCCGATCAAAATCCATTCGACTCAAATAACCCTCACATTCTCGCATGCAAGCATTCCAAATCCTATTCCTAACACTAGCAGACAGGGAAGTCGAACATTCTTCCGGGTAACTATTGCTTCGTGTTAAAGACATAAATAAAAGAATTAAAATGGGAAAGAAAACTATATCTGGGGCTTGAGATAGTAGAAGAATAGAGTGATGAATGAAATGGAGATTTGTCTACAATGCTTGGAAAAAGATCAATAGTTTTGGTAGTAAGCAAAATGAAAGAACAAAGTCATTTTTATTTAAAATAAGTTTGCAACGATCAGGAATTCATACCGAAGAAGAGAAATGATCACAAGTGAGAGTTTCCATAACAACCATCATGATGAGGAGATAGAAATATTTTTCATCATTGAAATGATTGACACTTCAGTCACTCGCCGAGTAGGAGGCCGGTCTAGGGAATAGGGAATTCTAAGATTATCTTTTCTGAACACTTCAATCCAATAGGACCTCGTGATCGCGGGGCTTATGTACATCCTGAAATCTCCTCATGCTGAGCTTATAAAAAATTGAGTACAAAGAGGAAAGTAGGTCGGGTAACCATAACCATATACAAGTCGAAATTCGGCTAGGGTTCACACATCGATAGTATAAACACGTCGGCCTTGCAGCAGAATTTTGACATTAGAAACAAGTCAGATCCGACCATATGATGAGTAAAAAGAAGTCATATGAATAGTCGCAAATGGACGGTTATGAAACGTTTCTAAGATAGCAGTGAGTTAGAGAAGACGAGAGAAAATATGTTATGTGTTGATTATGAGAGGCGGCAGACATTATTCAGAGTCGCCTTAATGAGGGATACAAAGAAGCACTCATTGAAAGGTCGTTAGTGGAGGCATGAGTACAAAAAGAGACTTTCTCCCTGAGGAAAGGGAAACGATCAGAGAAACACAGCAGTAGACATTCAACCAATCATTTAAGGATCTCCTTGATTAATCTCGGGGTACTCAACCTTTTAGTGTTTTTAGTAAGAAAATACACACACACACACACACACACACACACACACACACACACACACACACACACACACACACACACACACACACACACACACACACACACACACACACATATATATATATATATATATATATATATATATATATATATATATATATATATATATATATATATATATATATATATATATATATATATATATATATATATATATATATATATATAACACTTGGATGATATAGGAAGCGGTCTCTTTTAGCTTTATCAAACGTTTTGAGTTTGAATTCAGCCTTGAATATGAAACAATGTAAAACGAAACTCCTAAAAACGACACATCGCAAAATCAAAGAACACTAGCATAACCAACCAACACAAAGAAAATTAACCACGATCTCCACTCTACAACTATTTTGAAAGAAACCACACCAAATCAACCTTTAGATCTAGGAAAATAAAAGCTTAATCTACACCAACAATCAAATTGAGAGAAGGTTGGAAGACATCCAAAAGCCTATGAGAGGCGGTTGGCCACCCAACGAAAAAACGATCACTTTCAATGGAGCCTAACTACTCCAACTTTTAGCCATAACATTGATAATCTGATCAGATCTTGGCTCATCCCCATTGGACAAAGACAAAATGAGCTTAAAAACATATCACTTAGAAAAGACGCCCTTCATAACAACCTCTCAAACCCAAACATCCTCTTAATCTGTGATAAATTAACCAACCAACCAACAAAACCAAAGTACTCAATGGCTTTTCTTCCCAAAACAAAACACCATGCCTCCATTTAAAATCCCAAACTCACATCCCATCAACCCCTAAGACCCCATTTACCCAACCATTTGAAACTACGACTCTAAAATTAGAAATAACCTCCTAAAAGACACACATAAAGGTGTAAAATCCTTCCACACTTCCTAAAAAGTGTGTGTTTCAAACCATCCCCAAGGATCTTTCAAACCCAATAAAAATGTTACTACTTTCAAAGGAGTACATTAGCCCAACGTTTAGCCATAACATTAATAATTCTAATAGATCTTGGCTCATCCTCATATAACAGAGTAGATATGAGCTTTAAAATCACATCACACAAAAAAATTTCCCTCCACAACAACCTTCCAAACCCAAGCATCGTCTCGATCTTGGATAAATGAACCGACCAACAACAAAACCAAAATACTCAACAGTTATTCCTCCCAAACAAATACAACATGCTTCCATCTAAAATTAGAAATAACTTCGTAAAAGACACATAAAGAGATGTAGAATCCTTCCACACTTTCTAACAAAAGCGGGTTTCAACCCATCCCCAAGGATCTTCCTATTACCACTAGCAAACAAATCAGAACCTTCCTTGGCCTTAGACCTAAGCAGCAACACAACTTTCAATCACACAGACCCGAAAAAGGGGACAAAACAACGAAGGAACCATGCTTAGCTCTAAAAATATTTTTCTAGAGTGAAGGGGTAGTCTTAAGTGCTTCCCGCATATAGTTTGCAAAAAGAGCAAGGTTAACCTGCCTCAAATCTCTAACCTCCAACCCTCATAGCATCTTAGGCTTACGCACATCTTTCCATCTAACCCAACCTACATTCACCTTCCTTTTGGCCCCACGAAAAAGAAATCATCTCTAGATACCAACAATCGTCCACTAGAGACCGACACACATCTTAAGGGCGGGAAAGAAAAATATAGGGATATCATTCAAGACCGAGTTATGGAGCACCACCTCACCAAGGCTAACAAAACAGAACCTTAAAGAAGCTATACTTTTAGAAATAAGATTAACAACTAACTCTTAAGTCGCTTTCCTCCTTAGATTTGCACGCATTGGGAGGGCTAAGTACTTGAATGGGAGGGAACTTACTTTACAGTTTATAAAGCTCTTAGCCGATTGAAGAAAATCCTTACCCACATTTAAACCAAATAAGAAACTCTTTGAGAAATTCACTCTAAGTCTTAAAGTCAACTAAAAGCTACTAAGTTAGACTTTATAACCCATAGATTCTCAACCAAAGTCTCGCCCAATATAACATTATCATCAACCAACACAAAACCAAACCTACATACCTCACTCTAACCCAATAAAAAACCCAATCAAAATCACTCTCTACAAAGCATCGCTAAGCCCTTCCATCACCAGAAAAAAACAAAAAGAGAAGGCACTAATAAATCACCTTACTTAAGTCTCCCCTGAATATTTATCTCCTCCATTAAACTTCCATTGACCAAGACCGTTCGAATTTCGTATATGAGATAGATAAAATTTAAATTAATTTTTAAATAATTAAATATAAAAAAAAAAAGATATTAAATTATTAAATGATAAATAATATACACTAAACAAAAACTCTAAGAGACAATTATGTTCATTCTTTAAAATTATTTTCTTATACTTTTAAATATCTTTATTTTCTAAAAGAAAAAAAATACTTACAATGAATAAAAGTAAAGAAAAAAACATTCTATTACATAATTGTATGACATCTCACAAATTCATATTTAATGATTGAAAATTTGGCTATTTGATTATTAGACAAAAATAATAAATAAATAAAAATTTGATATGAAGTAAAAGTTAATCAAACATTACTTACACAAATAACATGGTTAAATTTGATTAGATAGGTTAAAAATGACATAGAAAATGAGAAACAATACTTTTCCTACATTCTACTCCACTAGTATTTTTTTATGTTAACTTTCCCTTTTAATTTCCACATTTGTTGTCTTTATAAACAAGACAAACCCTCACACTCACTTCACTTCATCATTCACCTTCCATTATTATTCTATTCTCTCCTCTCCTCCACTACTTTACCTTCTCCACATTCAACATCACAAAAAATCTCATAAACCCAACCACAATGCATTCCCAAAATTTCCTCACTTTCTTCTTCTTCCTTCTCCTCTCCTCCACCACCCTCACTTCCTCAACACCATCATCACAGAACGACGATTTCGCTCGTCCTATAGATCGCAAGTTGTTAGGCATAAACAAGAAGGAAAAGCTAAGTCATTTCAAATTCTATTGGCATGACATTATGAGTGGAAAAAACCCATCTTCAATCATGGTTGTTCCACCACCTTTGAAACTAAACACCACCACTGGTTTTGGTTTAGTTAACATGATTGATAACCCTTTAACATTAGGACCAGAATTGAGTTCCAAACTTGTAGGAAAAGCTCAAGGCTTCTATGCATCTGCTTCACAGGTTGAACTTGGTTTTCTTATGGCTATGAATTTAGCTTTCATTGAAGGAAAGTATAATGGAAGTACTATCACTATCTTGGGGAAGAATCCTGCCATGAGTAAGGTTAGAGAGATGCCTGTTGTTGGTGGAAGTGGACTCTTCAGATTTGCCAGAGGCTATGCTCAAGCTAATACTCATTGGGTTGATTACAAAACTGGAGATGCTTGTGTTGAGTATAATGTTTATGTTTTTCATTATTGAGTTGTTAATTATTGTTGTTGTTCATGTTATGTTTATTTTAGTATTTATGTTGTTTGTATGTGAACTTTTAATTTAATATTAATAAATATATTCATCTAAAGAACCTACCATCTATTTAAAAGTAGAATTATTAGCATGCTCTAAAAGCTTGTATTTAATTTTTTTTTTAAATTAAAATATTGTTTTTTCCACTACAAATATTTTTGCTTTTAATATTCCTAAGAACAACCTCTTGAAGAAAAGAAAGCATCTTTGAAAGCTATCACCTAATTCTCAGCTAAACTTTGAAAGCCTAATGCAATACTACGATCATTACCGTTAAAAATTACAATCATCATGACACAATTGTGCTTAGTGCATGTGTTTGGGATCTAGAAAGAAGGACCAATTGTTACCATAATCTTTAAGGACGCCTAACAACAGTTTGGATGAACCTTCTCAAACAATGTAAATTTCAACAATAGTGCCTTTCCCATTGGTTTTCGGAGTCAAAGGCAGAGAAAATATGAGAGGTTACACATTGAAATGACTCATATTGCAACACTAAGAGTTTTCACATATCCTTTATTATCTAGGACCAATGATATTCCTTGTGATTTTAAATTACGATTTGTAAGTGTAATTGCAGTCGCAATATTACTGATGCGGTAATTTTTACAACCACTTCGAATGCAATTGGAGTGTGATTTTTAAATCACATGTTCAATCACATTAGCAATCTCATGAGACAATTTTATCCCGATTTCTTTTAGTATTTTCATCAAAACTCATAATTTCAGAACCACAAAACTCAATTTACTTCATATGTAATTAAAAATCTTAACATTAAATAAGTCTTTTTCAACGTTGTATTTAGAATTCTATAAATTAAAATTCAAGCCGCAACAACCATATAATATTGTAATTGCGTTCGCATCCACAACCTCATAATTCTGTAATGACAACCACAATTTAAAAAATTTCCTTTTGTACTCTTTTATTTTCGCATCAATATTCCTTTTATGTTGTAAATTCCATTACTTGATACTTACTTTTAACAATTTAAATTATCTTCAAAACATGTTTTTCCCATCTAAGTACATTAAATGAGCATCATTTCTTAGTAACATTCTCTTTATAACCTGGTAAATCTGATGTTATTTTTTCTTATAAATAGGATGATAGTTGCTCAATCTTGATATAAGGAAAAATAGGAAGATAAAATTCTAATTTCAAGAGAGAGAAGTTATTTTGTTATTATTGTATACTTGTAATCTTGTTGTAAGAGTAAGGAAAGAATAGTAGTTTATAACCAATCCTTATTGTTCCTTGTTGTTTTAACTTGTTTTCTTTGTTAACCCTAACCCTTGTGTGTTTCTTAATCATAAAGAAACTGTTTATACTTTGTTTAAAGGTATCCAATTCACAACAAATTGGTGCGGTGAGCGTGGAGAAGATGCCTTCAACAAAGTATGAGATCGAAAAATTCACCGGAGTGAACGACTTCGGTCTTTGGCACTTGAAGATGAAAGCCCTACTGGTTCAACAGGTTGTTTGGAAGCGTTGAAGGGAGAGGCAACCATGGACATTGCATTAACGACAAAAGAAACGACGGGCATGATCGAGAAAGCCCGCAGTGCAATATTGTTGAGTCTTGGTGATAAGGTTCTTCGACAGGTACCAAGATGAGTAAATACAAAATGTTGGCTGAGCAGTTGGATATGTTCAACAAGCTGATTCTTGATCTTAAAAATATTGATGTGAAGATTGATGATGAAGATCAAGCACTATTGTTGTTGTGTGCTTTGCCCAGAACACATGCTCACTTCAAAGAAACTCTCTTGTATGGAAGGGAGTCCCTGACCTTTGAAGAAGTTCAACCAACCTTGTATTCTAAGGACTTGAATGAATGAAAGGAGCATAAACCTTCGACGGTGGGCGAAGATTTGGCCGTTAAGGGAAAATTCTTGCGAAAGGATGGTAAGTTCGATAAGAAGAAAGGTAAAAGTCAACAGAAGTCTTATAATGGCGAAACATCTGGTATTCGATGTTATCACTATAAGAAGGAGGATCACACAAGAAAGGTGTTCCCTGAACCCTGAAAGATCATAGAGGTAATGGCAACGCAGTCACTGTTCAAAATGACTTCGAATCATCTGATATTCTTGTGGTTTCAAGTGGCGACTCGAGAAAAGAGTGGATTATGAATTCAGGTTGCACTTGGCACATGACTCCAAATAGAGAATTGTTCGAGGAGCTATGTGATCAAGATGGTGGATCTGTGCTACTGGGAAACAACAAATCTTTCAAAATTACAAGTATTGGATCTATGAGATTGAAGCTCCATGATGAGTCAATAAGGTTATTGACTGAAGTCAGGTATGTACCTAACTTAAAGAGAAATTTGATTTCTGTTGGAGAATTCAACACAAAGGGATACATTTTTCAAGAAGAGAAAAGTATCCTAAGAGTCATGAAGGGGTCGAAGGAAGTCTTGAGAGGCATGAAGAAACAAGGCTTTTATACCCTTGAGGCTGAGGTTGTAATGGTTCAACAAATGTTACATCCACGAAACTTATGTCGAAGACAGAATTATGGCACATGAGATTGGGCCATGTCAGCGAAAGAGGCCTGGTTGAATTGGGGAAGCAGACCCTGCTAGGAGGTGACAAAGTTGAAAAGTTTGAGTTTTCTGAATCTTGTGTATTTGGTAAATCCTGTAGGGCAAAGTTTAACAAAGGCAAGCAAAGAACATATGGATCCCTGAATTACATCCATGTTGATCTTTGGGGGCCTGCAAGGAATCCTTCACACTCATGTGCAAGGTATTTTCTATCCATCGTTGATGACTATTCCAGAAAGTTATGGGTATTCATTCAGAAGATGAAGGATGAATTTTGAGAATTTCAAAAGTTGGAAGATTCTGGTTGAAACTCAAACTGGCAGAAATATTAAGAGGTTGAAAACCGACAATGGTCTTGAATTCTACAACTAAGTATTCGACAGTTACTGTGTTGAGTCTATGATTGCAAGGCATAAGACTGTAGCAGCTACTCCTCAACAAAATGGCTTAGCTTAGAGATTTAATCGAACAATCCTTGAAAGGGTTAGATGCATGTTAGTTAGTGCTGGATTGAAGAAGGTGTTTTAGGCAGAAGGTGTTTCGACAGTAGCTTACCTGATAAATAGATGTCCCTCGATTTCCTTGGGAATGAAGACACCTAAAGAAGTTTGGTCGGGACATCCACCTAGTCTCGACAGATTAAGAGTATTTGGTTGTGTGGCCTATGCTCACATTAGGCAAGACAAGGTCGAACCTAGAGCTCTGAAATGCATGTTTATGGGATACCCTGAAGGAGTCAAAGCTTATAGGCTATGGTGCCTAGAGCCAGTTCACAGGAGGTGTATCACCAGTCGAGATGTAGTTCTCAATGAAGCAGAGATGACCTTCAAGAAAACTGATGATGCTGACGAAGAGCTGGAAGAAGGAGAGATTTTTGTTGAGGTGGAGCATGTTGATGCTGAATTGCGTGCCCCAGATAAAGTCGAAGAAGATGCAGAAGATGTTGTCGAAGATGAAGAGACTGATAAGGACTACCTGCTAGCAAGAGACAGGTCGAGGAGAGCCATCAAGCCACCTCAGAGACTTGGGTATCCAGATCTTATAGCTTATGCCTTTGCAAGTGAGGTTCTAAACGAAGAACCTAGAGACTATAAGGAAGTTATGAGGAGCCGAAAGAAGACTGAATGGCTGAATGCCATGGATGATGAGATGAAATCTCTTCATGATAACAATACCTGGGAACTGATCAAGAAACCTACTGAAGCCAGGTTAGTCAGCTATTAATGGATTTTCAAAGTTAAGGAAGGAATCGAAGGAGTGGCGTCGAAGAGATGTGTTCTCTCCTGTTGTGAAGCACAGATCCGTTTGAATGTTGCTTGCCACAGTGACACAATTCGACCTTGAACTGGAACAGATGGATGTGAAGACTGCGTTCTTGTATGGTGACTTAGATGAAACAATCCTGATGAGGCAACCTGAAGGGTATGTCGAAAAAGGAAAGGAAGATTATGTGTGCAAGCTGAATATATCCTTATATATACTGAAATAATCTCCTCGACAGTGGAATAGGAGATTCGACAAGTTCATGGCACGTATAAGTTTCATCAGAATTCAGTTCGACCACTGTGTTTACTTCAGATTTCGACTGGGTAATTCATTTGTTATTTTGTTGCTCTATGTGGATGATATTCTAATAGCAAGCAACAATGTCGAAGAGGTAATGAGGGTGAAGATTGAACTCAATAAGGAGTTCGACATGAAGGATCTGGGAGCTGCGTCCAGGATTTTTGGGATTGACATCCGAAGAGATAGAAAGCAGTCGAAATTATGCTTATCTCAAGAGGCATACCTACAGAAGGTTCTCAAAAAGTTTGGTATGCTAAATTCAAAGCCTGTTGTGACTCTGACAAACCCTCAACTCAAGCTGAGTATAGATCAGTATCCTAACACTGATGTTAAAAGAAATTATATGAATAGCATTCCATATGCTAATATAGTGGATTCTTTAATGTATGTTATGGTCTGTACTAGACCCGACATAGCATATGCAGTAAGTCTTGTAAGCAGGTACATGGCGAATCCTGGAAAGACTCACTGACAAGCATTGAAGTGGATTTTAAGGTACATAAGTGTGTCTCTGAATAGAGTCCTAATTTATTGTGGAGCCTTGGGTGAAGATAGTAAAGTAGCAATTGAAGTTTGTTCACATGTTGCTGATATGATCACCAAGACTTTGCCCAGTTGCAAGTTTTTTCATTGTATGCAGTTGATAAAGCTGCATGAAGAAAGATGGTTCCTTGATGTCATAGAGTTAGATCCAAGGTGGAGATTTGTGAGATGTTGGACTGAACTCTAGTATAGTCAAAGGGTAGCTTCTGGTTCGACAGGAGTTAAGCACGAGATCGAAGTCTGTTTGCATGCTGATGTCAGAGTAATGCATGTTGTAGTAGAAGTTTGT